TCTCTTTTCCAAGGGCTTCAGGAGTACAAAAAGGCCAAATCCAGCAGTCTGGGCTGGGAGAGAAATTTGTTATGATAAAAAAAAAAAAAAGCTGGAAACTGCTGAAGCAAGCTCATTCTCTGTTAAGCCTCACTTCTAGTAACTAAGGAAAGTGATGAATGGGTTGTTTAGGTAGCAGTATAAGATTTGGAAGCAATACTTTTTTCTGTCTCTAGAACACAATATTTAACCTTTTTTTTTTTCCCTGTGAATTTAGAGCTGGATATCTCCCTCTTTATACATACATAATACATAATTCCCTTCCTGTTAAGTTAGAATGGCAAATCACCTGATGCTCTGCCAGCTCTTTTTATTACATGAAAGTGATTCCATTAGTTTTGCATCCTGACTTCAGAGAGCATAGTCTCAAAGATCAGCAGAAATGTAAATAATAGCCATTTATATGGACCTTTTCTGCATGAGATGGTGTAAGGAGCTTAGCTCAAGTTAAAATATTTTTAAAGGCCAAGCCTGTGAAAGTAATTTTTTCATACAATTTACAAGCAACAGTTGGGTGAGGAAAAATGTCCCATCTCTTTGTTGAAGGATGTGCCTGATTCTGTCTATTTACTGCTGTTGCTCAGCTTTGTGTCTGAGTAAAATTGTTTCTCCCAGAGCAGTTGAAAACCAGCAGCAATCTAGTTATAGTATATCAAGGTGCTGTGACTTGAAGTAGAAGTTGCTACATCTGTGTCCTTAAAAAAGCAGAACAAAAACACCCGAACAGTAACACCCCTCCACCACCCAAACAAACAAGAAAACCCTCCTCAATCTACTCTGCCAATAGTTCATCTAGATGTTTTTGCCTAATGGTTGGTTGTCAATGATCTATAATCAAAAGCACCTAACAGCACTAGCGCAGTGGTCTCACACTCATTTAGGTATGCCTTGGCTTCACAGTGGAAGAGTTCAGTTGACTGCCTCATAGTGCAAGCAGCTGAGTTAGATTCAGGAACAGTAAACCTATCAAAGTTTACTGTGACTGTAAAACAGATAAAAATGAAGCTTTTGAAATGACATATGTTGAAGTCACAGAATGTTAGAGTAATTCTGTGTCAGTCTCCAAGGTTGGAACTTCTTAGAGCTGCTTCTAGTAATTATATAATAAATGAATGTATTTTGGCAAAATGTACATTTTCAGAACTGAAAATAAGGAATCCTATTTTACATATAACTTGCAATAAAAGACAAAGGACCTGCCAAAAGTAGACATTATTACATCTTCAAATTGAAGTCAAAATGTGTCTTGATTTATACTGAAAAGAGTAGGATGAAACTTAAATTTTCTGAGTCTACAATTATCTTCTAAGAATTTATTCCATTTCAGCAAGTTCTAATGCTGAGGTGATGAAGAAGTATAGAGCCATCAAATACTGTATCTTTCATACCCTGCTCCTCAGGTTAATTGATGTTTTGGTTTCCCTTAAGGGCAGATAGAAGGTTATACAAACGGCTGTGAATCTTTTCAGAGGAACGTGCTGGAGGGGTGGTCCTGCATGTGTCACTGTCATTCACTGCTCAAGCCAGACTACAAACTTCAGTCTCCTGAGGCTGATGATAATGTATTTCATCAAACACCAAACTCAGTGTAAATGATTTCCCAATGAAAAGTAAGCAAAGAATATCCTCCTAGCTCTGCAACTAACATGTCCCTTGCAAAAATATTTCCATAGGAAATTAAGCTGTTGGGGGGGGGGGGGGNNAGATCCCAGTAGATGATGTAGTGACTGATTTATTGGTGCTGCAACGGACTATGAACACTTCAGCCAATGGTTGTGCCTATTCTGTTGCTCCTCAGGACTTACGGAACTGTGGCAGCCTCTCATGAGCTTTCAGGGGGAAATGGAGCTCTCTGTATTTCACAGAGAAACCCGCTGGCTACTTCAGAGAAGTAACAATCAATAGTAAGTGCCACTGATTTTAAAAAGCAACTTATAAAGCAAATACATCATGCTCATAGGATAAGAATACAATGCTGAAGTGAGAGTAACAGCTCTGATGGGTATCTCTGATATTCACAGTATTCTGTAGATAAATGCTGTAAACTCTTCTATAAGAAAGAAAGAAAATCTGCTTTTGATAGTCCCACTGCAGGTAGGAGGAAATAAAATATAACATGCAGACTGAATCAGAGGTGGAATCAGTATCAGCAATTTGTAGGCCCCTGTCATGTGCTCAGACAGTTAAAATATTCACTTCTGCTGAAACTGTCATCACATAGATCAACCCTGAGGACTGCCAGACAAGGTTAGTCCCTGAGAGAGACAAACATATCCATTCTTCTTTCTTTTTTTCTTTTTTTTGTAAATTAAAAATACTGTAAGATAAAAAAAAATAAAAAATCAAATGCTCACCGTTTTCTGCTAGGGGAGCCAAAACTTCAAAGATCATCTCTTTTTTATCATGCTCTACTTGCTTCTTGAACAGTTTCACAAGCTCTTCAGCAATGTTTGTGTAGGCAAACTGCTCTTTGCTTGACTCTGCAAAGCAAAAGTTCTGTATCAAGTAAACAAACCAAATCAAAAGCTAGGATGATTTTTTTTCTCTCTTTTTACCAGGTTTACTCAGTGAGATGACTAATAATGCACTTCATAGGCAAGAACAATAGTCTCATGTTTGTCACAAGGAAAAAAATAGTCTAATGCTTTAAAGCAAATGTACTGCCTTCAATTATGAATAAGGCTGTTCAAAAAGATCTATGTACATGATCAAGGCTGTTGGGGCTGTTTCTGCCCAAGAGAATGTAAAGGTAGCTATAGAAACAGTAACATTACAAAAATAAAGATGGTATTTTATTATCCCCAGCTTAAGAGGAAAACTAACAGATCGTATACTGTATTTTCCCTAGGAGAGATAAGAGTCATACTGAAAGTTTTAGTGTTTACATGGTCTTGTGACAGCGACATTTCCTTTAAAATCTGTGCATGGCTGTTGCAAGGCTGTTTCATACTGCACAGATAGCATAACACAGCTTTACAACTAGGCAAGGTGGCCACAAGGAGGTTATTCATCGGATTATGGTTTTTTATGTGTTGTGGATTCAACAGAAGCATCTGATTCTATTGCCTGTATCTGATTCCTCCTATCTGGCAGTTTTACAAGGGATGCAGATGGTGGGACTGGTGTTCTGCGTTCTCCAGTTGCCACCTCCTGAGGGCCATCTGTAATTAAATCTTCCAGCACCTTTGCTAACGCTCTAGTGGATGGTTAGAGATTATTTTAATGTAGAATTGATCAAGGACTGGGAAAAAGCATAAACTGCAGACCTACCCTCTATTGTGCACATCCCATTGTTGATTTTCAATATATATGACTGTAGTGCATATTCTAAGTGGATTTTTGACCTTTTTGGTATTTGAAAAGCACCACCACTCTCTCAATTGTGGTTTTTTTTTCGTCCTACTTTGACACAGTTTCATATAATGCTTCTCATGGGATCTGTAGAATGCAGTTGTCACTTTTAAGTGATGAAAGATGACAACCTGACAATAAAATTCCCTGAAGTTACATGGCAAAAATCAAATATTACAAATGCAGTGTGATTGGCTAAACTATTGCTTAAGGGAGATTTAAGTATTAAAAGCTAAATTAATTTTGTGTCAATCTTAAAGAACAAGCAGCTTTTCACCGTGCAGGAACAGGAATGGAAGCAGCTGCTTTAAGCTCCTTTCCCGTGTTTGTTGCCCAGCTGGCCAGTGCTGGCTGTTCCCAAAGAGGGAAAGAAAATGTAGTTCTCAGTATCATATTTAATATCTTTATGATTTTGTTGTGTTTTAGTAACAGAAGAATTTCAAGCAAAGGTTGTATTACATTTCTTTTTACTGTACAGACAGAATATGTTAGTGCTTGTCTTGAAGATCTGTGATCTATTCATTTCTTTGGTGCTAATGATGAATCTTTCTGTTGTTTTATTCTGCAAACTTTCCTTCTATGAATAAAGGCATTATGTGTGTGACCAGACTAGATGGGTACATAATATTCTCTCTGGTCTTCAAAACTATGAATGTAGGACAGTTTGAATAATTTCAGATCTTCAAATAATTCCAACTCACAGATATCTTTTTCCTATTCTGAACCACAGGATGTCCTTAGAAATGGAGGATGGTAATCCCAGCTGCTATATTATTACACTCTAGAGTAAATAAAAAAATGAATAAATAGGACTAAAATTTGACCAAATAGGTTTGTAAAAGATCAACACCAATGTAAAATACAAGTGATAAAACACAGGCCCTAACAACCTGTTGATTTACACCTTGTTGAATCCCAATAAAAACCTATTGGATTAAAGTATCATCAGAAACTTCAGATTAAATGAAGTAGTACACAAACTTGTTAAAAAACACAATCTCTGTCATGTACATGCAAGTATGTAGTCTAGCATATGTTAAAGTTCAGTGCCTAAAAGAATACTGTACAAACAGAGTTATGAACTGTGCCTGTTTCAGTTTCACTCAGTGAATTCCATGGGCAAATTTAATCCTGATAGAACTTTGTGGAGCTGCACCAGGATATATTATTTATATTATTAACAAATAATTCACTATAAATAGCAGTGTTCAGGAAATTTAGATGATTTAGAATGTGCCTAGTTGCGCTGAAGAACGTTAGTATAAAACAGAAAGTATACTAAGTACCCAAATAAATCTGAGTTACTGAAGGTAAAAGAGACAACTATGGATTTCAGAGGTAAGAAGCAGAAATTGCTTGCTTTAAATTTTGAATGTACCAGTAGGAATGCAATGAGGCAAGACTTCTGTTAATCATAAGAATGAACTTTAAAAAACTGGATCTAAGTTTGAGATGAATGTTGTGGACTTACCAAGTTCTGCTAAATTGCCAAAAGCAACAAGGCACATCTCTGTCAGAGCTGCATTTTGGCAATGAATACCCAACAATTTCACTAATGTAGGAATAACACCCATATTGATAAGCTGTGATTGCAGGGTATCTATGTAAAAAGAAAGCACAACAAAGAGTTAGTATTAGTGTCTATACTACTGTTATTTACATCAGAACAACATTTTTCACGCTGAGTAACTCCTAGGCTAAGCAGTATTAAAATGGCTGTCTCCTCTACTATTTTACACTAGGATTTGGTCCAGACATGGGATATGGACTCAGACTTCCCTTTTCCCCTGGCGATGGGTTATATTCTTGTAATTGTTCCCTCCTGCTCTGGTGGTAAGGTAAGTTAATTATGCAGCTAATGGTAACATTGTGGCTCCTAACATAGTTGGGTTTGAGTCTTAGCTGACTGAGACTAGCTGAGTAAAATAAAACAAAACTACGTCAGTGAGAAACTTATTTATTTAAAAGCATAGTTCTATCAACTGTTTTCCCTTAAAGATAAAAACTGGAAAATTAAAAGTAGAATGAATATAAACTGGCACTGAAATAAACATGAGAAGTTTTATAAACATAGGAAGTCACAATGTAGATTATGAGGAGCTTGAGAAAAAAGAAAGTTTAATAAAGACAAAAAATGGAAGGTTTAAGAAAAGTCCTTAGAAGCCATTCTGATAATTTCTTGCATAGGATGGAAGCTTATAGTATTTACAAGTAAGAAAGTTATTGCTCCTAGATGTCTGCAAATAGAAAGATGCTTTGATGGTTAGGCAGAAACATGATTGTTTTAAAGGATTATTTATAACCATATTTTATCTTGAACATTACCTATAACACAGCAAAGAAGAAAAACATTGTTTCACAGTTGAATAGAATGAAGCAGACGTGAACATACCAGATATTTAGTAGATTTCCTAAGTATCTCTTTTCCTCTATTTTTAGGCACTTCAACTACATTTTAATGTTGTACGATCCAAAGCCTAGTGAATTCAGCAGAATTCTATTTCTTCATTTAACTTTGGATCAAGACCTACAGGGGAGTTCTCTCTCTCTCTCTCTTTTTTTTTTTTTTTTTTTCCTGAGCAGCTGAAATCAATTGGAGGTTTTATTTCTGTGGAATCAGAGCCACAGAAACTTCAGATTTTTATAGGAAGATAAAAACATCTTATAGCTGAAGTCTAGTGGACTTAGTATCATCTCATGTGCTCAGAAATCTCTTTATCTTCCAGATTCTGCCCTGTGTGTTTTGAAATTTTCATTAATAAAAATTATGAAAAGATTCTGGAATGTTTAGTTTATTTATATTTGGTATAATACATTCTTTGAATAATAATCAATTTGATGTACTAAATAAGTTAATGTCGCAGTTATTACAGGTTATTGGGGACGAACAGGAATTCTTATGGCATGATATCTTTAATAAAACTGTATTACTGACCAGTAACTGAATTTCCTTTTTTTTTTTTTTTTTTTTAGGGAGGGGATGTTACCTCTTCCATAGATTCATAATCTTTAGATAAATATATGAGAACACCATCTGAGACATCAAAGAGCTGTTGAAGTTGTCAAATTTCAGGTAAGTACAGATTGCACTAGCGCATGCATTGAATGCCATTTTACCTCCAGCAGATGTGTGAGTCACTACAACGCCTCCTATTTCATTCCAAACTCACTGTAAAGATCTAACTCTGAATCAAAAAACTGAGAGAGGGAACTGGAATGATTCTGTGGAGAAAATGTTTGTGTAGGAGAACTCAAGTTACTGGTAAATAATCTGTTTTTCTCCTTGATTTTTGATTGTCCCTTGCAGGTGCTTAAAAATTGTGAAGGAAAAATGGTAGTCATGGAGAGCAGGAGAACAAAGACACAAACGACGAATGCCATAGAAAATTATGTGAAAAGAAGTTGCTTCATTACTAGACTATGCTTCTATCTCTTTGAGTAATCTCTACGGGCTTCATTTAGCAAAGTGTTCTGACATCAGAAACATAAACTCTGTATTGTGAGTAGTGCTTTTTTTTTTTTTTTTTTTAACACAGTAGATAGAAAAAATCTAAGGGGCAAAAAGCAAATTATATCCATCCTTGAAAGGAAAAAGGAATCTTAAGAGCCAAATGGAAGGATATATTGTTTAAGAGAGCATGGAGCTCATGAGTTTAAAGGACTCCATTATTCCTAAAGAGGAATAAAGGAAAAAGAAAATATACCATCAAGGAATAATTGTACTAGGTCAAAAGTCACATATTGTATCTGACTCCATGCCATCTTTTTTTCCTGGTGTGGAAGAATAGCACCTGAGTATAGGACTAGCCTACAGCGTAGAAAAGCTTGAACAGGAATTGCCTTTTTTGGTAAAATCTGGGCTTAATATCGATGTCTTACCACAGTAAGCAGAAGGATATACTTTTTCCTCACAAAGACAGGACAACCTCATGAGTCACGAAGCCACGTGGGAGGCAAAACCTGGAATAACTGCGTAACCTCAGCTCTTCACTGCATGAAAGTGCTAGGGCCTTATTAGAGCAGGAGGCAACCTCAGGGGAAACATGCATCTGTCCTACAAGCAGCTGTCTGATGTAGGGCTGAACTAAAGCTCAAGGCCAGGCAACATCACGTCTCAGGATGAAACAGCATTTCTATCAGCTTCCTAAGCAGAGCTGGATGCATGCTGAACAGGAAGCATGAAAACCTGAATGCCTCTTCAGAATTTGACTTAAAGTCAGAAAAGAAACTCTCTCATTATATTGCTATCAAATATTGCACTGGAAAAATGCCTGTGTTTTCTTGGGGCTGAAAAGCACTGATAGTGATGCTGCACAGATGCATATACAGGTAGATAAAAGGCAATCAATACATGCGCCAGCACAAATAGTTACCTACCTAAAACTTGAATTTCAATGGCTCCGTGTCCTTCGATGACACACATGGAAACTCCAAAGAGTAAGATCTGAGGAGAATATCCCAAATTGAGAACTTTACTGGGGGCATTTGAATTCAAAATGCTGATTTAGGCTACTGCTTGATGTTGGACAAAATTTCAGAAAACATCCAGTCATCATGTTTCATTACTAAGTGATTATATCACTAAAGGAAAATCTACAAATAGGTGGCATAAGTTAATAACCTACAAAAACCTGCTTGCTATCATCGCATCAATTTAAGTAATTATATAGCAAATTATATTGCTACCTTAAAAAAAAAAAACAACCTCATTTTACATGCTTTAGGTTTCTTTGCATTTAAAGTATATTTAGATTTTGAAAGCACACTATACAGCAGTGATGAAATGAAACAAAAACTATGGCAAGCATGAAAATTAGCAAAGTTAAGTTTTAGAAGGAAGCATTGCTGAAATACTGCTATTAGACTATTATCATGGAGCAGTAAGTCTCCCTTTCATTCTTTGTGTATTGACATAGATTCTGCAGACAGTAAACAATGCAAGACAGTCCCCAGCCTTCATTCCAGTCACTGAGAGTTTTGTGATAATAGGAAAAGGTTGGCAGTTTTATGACTTAACATCATCACTTTACATCTTAAAAAGGCACTGAGTGAAATAGACAACCTCGACAGACTGAATTTTAATATGAAATGAAATGAGAAAGTAGTCTATAAACAGAATTATTTTTTCTCTGTTGTTTCACACGTGCATACTGTAGCCAGTTGATTTCTGATCTATAATTTGACTACCTAAGAATCCAATTGACCTAATTCTCAACCACTTCTACATTTCTTTAAAAGTACTTTCATGGTCTGTTCTGCAAATCTCATGAGACAATTAGCTACTTTACAGATTAATCCCATTAACTTGTAACTAGTTTTAGCCTACAGGATTATGATAACTGCAGAATAACCATTTGTCACTAACTCTTTTATGTGGCTGTTTGCATATGATTATTAGTTGCTAGTTTTTCACTCTTTATCCAAGCCTGCTTTGCCTCTTGCTGTTAAGCAGATCCATAGCTATACAGAGACTATATGTAACAATATGTCTTCAGAATGGGAGAAGCACAATGCTATGCTGAACACACAAAGGTGCCAGAACAGCTGTTGCATGTCTTGACAAAGAAAGAATTGTTACAGGCTTTTGCCAAGACTTACTTCTTAACAGAATTACAGCATGAGGAAAACGATTCACAAATGTGTGTCACACTTGTCCCATTCCTAGCCATGCCTGCAACTCTGCCTTTTGAGAATTAATAATGGAAAGCAGGGATGAGATATTCTGACTGAATTCCGCTAGTAAAACAGAATTATGGCAGAGAGAATCGAGATAATCTATACGGAAGACAAAGGGATGTATCCCATCAAAAAATCCCTGTTTTCTGGCAACACGATTAAAAATGAACACTTTTTTTTTTTTTTTTTTTTTTTAAAGCTTAAAAGAAGTGCAAGAGATGCCAAAGACAAGTTTGTTCTGTTAACATTGTAGCACCTAATGAAATGGTAAGCTACTAAGGAAGCAAAGGAAAGAACTGAGAGACATTAGGCAAAAATAATTCTAGAACATGAGCAGATAGCACAAGAACCTTATGAAGAGAATCTGAGTTTTAAAGCTTAGACATTATGAATGAAGCTATAATTGCAGAACCAGCACAAGAGATAAGAATGCTAGATTAATTCCTCTGTTTAGGGAAATAAAATATTACTCATAGCTGCTCTTTAGTTGCCATTTTTGTAAAATTCATGTGTGGCAAATGCCCTGTGCTCATTAAAAAATGTGAAGCTCTTAAGAATGAATCTTTAACGTCAAAAAAATAAGGTAGTTAATTGCTATTAAAAATAGTGCAGTCACTATTGTAAAAAGAGGGCAATTAGTATACTGTGAACAGCGAAATGTTCAGAATCAAATAAACAATTTATATGTTCCTTGCTCATAAATTGCTAAGGATTAGAAAATATTAGGGTGTTCACGGATAATTACATGCAACTAAACCAAATGCACTCTAATCATCCTTATCTGGATAGCTAGTGCAACTTCAGAGAGCGTGAGTCACTAGAGAAGGTAAGGAAATCTTCAAAGTCCCCACCTGTAACTTGGTAACATAGCATGCTGAGCAGGAAAAGATTACAGAAACAGTAAAAACAGAAAGTGCTGTTCCAAAAACTGAAACACTTTTTTTCCCTCATGCTTCCAATATTTTTTTTCATCCAATTTGTTTCCATAACTACGGGTGAAGCAATCTAAGACCCTAGGACACAATCCCATATTCTCATTCCTCAGTACAACTAGTGCAGTGTTTGTCTTCTTTATAAGTAACACAGGATTGAGCTTTTGCAAGTAAATTGTGAAAACAGCACCAGCTAATTTGTGAGTACAATTCCCCGTCAGGGCAACCTGAGTTTTCATCTTTAACAAGTCAGTGAAAAATTGCACTTGCTCAGCATATTATCCAACTGATGCTGCAATATATGGAAGTAAGTGGTTTTCTTGGGCTCCTATTTGACATAAACTATTGTCTTGAAAATGTAATATGGTTGGCAGGTAGTATTTTTAGAGCAGTTCACAACAGTTGTGCAGCTGTATTTGTGGCTCCTAAAACAAATCTGGAAAGCAGGCCAACCTGTCTCTCCATACACATGCTGCAGGTACAGTCACTGAGTTTTCTTCTTAAAATTGTATCCTATAATATTTTTTTTCCTTGGCAGACTATTCAGCGTTCATTTTAGTGGTTACCAGATTTACTGACTACAGTGGAGCTACAGGACATGAGTCTTATATAACATAGCAATGGGTCCCTATGGAAAGCCTTTACAGAGACACCAGGTATGTGGGGTGAAGGTGAAGGTAGGTAAGCCTCCAGCATACTGCCTTGATGTGGTGTTAGCACGAGGTGGAGATCTCCACCCAGATCTAGGAGCTGGGAGTACTTCCTATTTCTGACCTGCCTCAGTGGCTGCTCTGACTGTTGCATCAGTTTGTTAGTTGATGTGAAATGAAAGATGTCTTTTAGCAGAGCAGAGAACACAGCTAGTGAATCCTCCTACTCATCACTGAACTACACAACTGCTTTATAGATTTTATCAGAATAGGCCAGCTTACTAGATGGGATGAGTCATTTACTCCATGTTTAAAACAGTCAAACTATTGTTTCAGAGATTTGTCTCCTAATTAGTTTACCTATGGAAGACTTGCTAAGAACTTGGGTCTCTGAAACAAAACTGTTTCAGTATCTCTGCACAGCAGTTTGGGACTGCTCTGTCTTGAACTACCAAATATACTGGAAGCTTGCTAGTCTTAATGCAGAGAATCGTGGAAGCTTATAGCTTTACGTGGAAGCTTTTTCTTACGAAAATATATTTGCTCTACATGTTTAAACAAAGAAAATAACGGAGTTAACACTATAAAATTTGGAAACATACAACACACAGACATCAAGAAAAACAGCTCCTGAAGACTATGAAATAAAGGAGCTAGACAGTTGTTATTTGCTGATTAAGGCAGAAGTATTATAAACAAGTATACTTGAATGTTAGGATACTAGGAAAAGAAGATAGAAAAATAATGCAAGAACAAGAGAAAGACACGAGACACATACAACAATGGCATTTGCAGGTGAAGAGGTAACACTAAGAGCTGAGAGATCTGGAGACATGGTGCAGAAAATGTGTGAGGAAAAACTATAGCAGATTAAAGTAGATTAAAAATTTATACTATAAAGGTCAAAAAATTAAGCCTAAGGACCTTCCTGAAAAGCAGAAGAGTTGGGGACACAGATTTGGGAAGTGAGTCACAGGAAGTGCTAAGTTACAATGGTAAAGAAACAGGGAATTGCTAATGAAGAAGCTATTTTTTCATCAGACAAAGCACTACAAATCAGGAGATGAGCATGGTTGAAGAAACAGTGTGATTAGCTATCTACATTTGCAATCTGTGCCATTACAAGTCAGGAGAACAGCCTCTATTTAGCTTTCCTCATTTCTACCCATTTTCTTAAAAATTCCCATTTAGAAAAACTTGGAAGTGAGTGATTGCTACAAAATTTGCCTTGGTATATTACCACACTTGCATGCAGAAGGAAACTAGGTACTAA